CAGCACCACATGCCAGCCAGCCCCACCCCCTGGTGGGCTGAGCTGGCCACACACACACACACACACATGCACACACACACACACACACACACACATACACACAAGTAAATAAATAAAAATTTTTAAAAAAGAATTCAACAGTTTTTTTTTATTTTTAAATTCAACAGTCTTTGTTTTACTGCATAGTATTGTCTTTGACTTATTCGGATTACCAGATATATGTATGCAAAATTAGAAAAAGAAAAAAGAAAGTTATTAGAAATTGAGAGGACAAAATAATGAAAAGAGATTTTAAAAAATAAGCATTAACTTCTCTTTTCCATAAACCAGCAGAAATTCACAGTACAATTGTTCAAGCCATCCTGCATACATACATACATACTTAGATATATCTCTTTCCCCCACTCCCTCTCTAGTCCTTTTCCTCATCTTAGTAATTATTTTCTTTTGAACAGACTCATCCCCTTTTCACAGTATCTATTGTACCCTTCAGATTTTACTTACTCTTTCAGATTCTTACACTAGGGAGACAATATGATGTTTATACATGTGGGTCTGATTTCTTTCACTTAAGATTATGGTCTCTCATGCTGTGCCAGCTCCGCCCCTATTGCACTCTGAGATGGAGATTGAGACTGGGCATGGTGGCACCTGCCTATAATTCCAGTGCTTGGGAGGCTGAAAAGGGGAGAATCACTACAAGTCCGATCCACATAGACCCTGTACACCCTGTAGACCCTGTACTAAAATACATTCAAAAAAAAAAAAAAAGATTATGGTCTTTAGTTGCATCCATTTGTAAATAAAAGGCTCAAGTTTATCCTTTTTAATAGCTCAATAATACTCTATGGTATAAACATACCACATCTTCTTTATGCATTCCTCAGTTGATGGGACTTGAGTGCTTCCAAGATTTATCTATAACAAATTATTCTGCAATAAATATGGATTCAGCACCATTTATTAAGCCATATGTATTAAAGAGACTCTCTTCAAATGAACATGTTTGGGCCCCTTGTCAAAGACAAGGTGACTGAGTATACTTGTAGTTGTGTGTCCATTTTATAATCTATTCCTCCGGTTAATTTTTTTTTCCAGTGTCATGCTGATCTTGTCACAGTAACTTTGAAATATAATTTCTGGTCAAGGACTGTGATACCTCCTGTCTTGCCTTTGTGGCCCAGGATCACCTTTGATATGTTAGATCTATTCTGGTTCCAGATGAATTTTAGGAATGTTTTCTCTAGTTCTGTGATCTTTATTAATGATGATTGATCAGGACTGCATTCAGTCTGTTAACAATTTTAGGAGTGTGGCTATTTTCACAATGTTACTTCTTCCTATCCATGAACAAGGATATCTTTCCATTTTCTGATATTCTCTCAACTTCCTTTTTCAGAGTAACCTAACCCTTTGTTAGATTGATTCCTGAGTATTTTTTTTCTTTTAGATGCCATTGTGAAGTGTGTGGTTTCCCCATATTTTCTCTCAATAAGTTTGTGGATGTGTACAAGAATGCTATTGATTTTTGAGTATTGACTGGCAATGTGGGAAATGTTTTATTACACAAGATTATTATTTTTTT